GGCGGGAGGGCGGGGGGGGGGCAAAGGGTGACTTAATAGATCCTGCAGGAGGTAGGACGTAATCTTGTATTAAGGGGGAAACTGAGGCACGGAGCACGGACTCACCTCCAGGTCCAGCGGGAGGCAGGGTTTGAATTGGCTCCCAACCCTCTGGACTCACCACTAGACCCTCCCCTAGTTTGTGCTCCCTCGCTGTGTGGGGTGAGAGGCTCCCGCAGAGCTTCGGGGTTCCCCTTGGGTGGGGAGCAGCGCTTGCAGCTGCCCCAGGCTGGCATAGGAAACTGAGGCACGGAGCACGGACTCACCTCCAGGTCCAGCGGGAGGCAGGGTTTGAATTGGCTCCCAACCCTCTGGACTCACCACTAGACCCTCCCCTAGTTTGTGCTCCCTCGCTGTGTGGGGTGAGAGGCTCCCGCAGAGCTTCGGGGTTCCCCTTGGGTGGGGAGCAGCGCTTGCAGCTGCCCCAGGCTGGCATAGGCCAGGCAGGCAGCACAGAGTGCCAGCCGCACACTGCCACTGGGAGGATAAATTCTGTGGTTCACGCTTGCCTCAGGAGGCTGCGTTTTCCAAGTGGGCGAATGACGGGGCCTTCGAGAGGGGGGCCCCGCAGCAGGCCCAGGTGTTAGGGAGCAGCGAGCGGTGGGTCCAGGGTGAGCCAGGCTGGTAGGTCCCCCTGCGGCCAAGAGGCAGCCCTTGAAAGCCAGGCGAATGGGTGCTGCGCAGGGGAATAGCAGAGGAACCCCGGAAGCTCCCATCTCATGTCCATGTGGAGGGCAGAAAACAAAGGCTGTGGAAATGGCTCTTTCGCCATCCCCTCTGGGTCTCATCTCTGTCACACACCAGCGGTTCGCACCCCCTGACGCAGGGGCGGGGAATCTTTTTTGGGTCCGGGGGCCGCGGATCCTCAGAAAAATCAGTCGGAGGCCAGGGGATGTGGGGAGGCGGGAGGGAGGGGGAGCTGGAGGGCCAGCCCCGGCTCTGCAATGCTGGGGGAGGCCTTAGGGGCCAGATGCAGGCAACCCAGGGGCCGCATGGCCCTTAGGTTCCCCACCCCTGCCTTAGCAGATCTGTCCTTGTAGCACTGCTGGAGGCTCAGGATGGTAACGGCCTGGTGTGCACTAAGTCCCACCCCGCGAGCTGTGGCAGGGGCAAAGGAAAAGAGGCCCAACAGGCATGTTTTATTGTGGCTCCATCCCATGGCAGCACCCGCCCCCGCCCTTGATTGGCACCATTTGGAGGGGAGACCAGGGGAATAGGGGTCAGGAGAGCAAGGCAACCTTACATTCACCCTCCCCCCCCAGCACCCACCGGGCTGAGCTCAGCCCCTCTGCTCCAGCTGTTGCAGTCAGGCGTGCGGGGTTACAGTCCCACTCTGGTTTGGTAACCTCAGGTGCCAGGTTGCAATGCCTGGGGCAGGATGCAGGCCAGCCTGGCAGGACACGGGAGTTACCCTGGAGGGGGTCAGGGACACGGAACAAAGTCGCAAGCCGATGGGAAAATCACAGGCACTGTGATGTGTTTCAGGCTGTGACAATCCTGGGAGCCTTCCAGGGCTGTGTAAATTGTATGGGCCCTGTGCACCTAAACTAGCAGCCCCCACCAGCTGCTCCCTGCCAGTGAGAGGTCGCTGCACGGACCTAATCCCAGCTGCTTAGGCAGGAGGAGTTCGTCAGCGAGGGAAAAAGCCCTTTTGGTGCATAATCTGTGTCTGCACCGACACCCTCCCACAGGGCTTCCCTGAGACTCTGGGCTCTTGAGGCCCTGTTACCAGCCTCCTGAGCCCAGACACCTTTGGAGTCCCAGCTATTTTCGGTCTTTCTCAGACTCGACTCTGACTCCTGTTGTCCTCTGTCCTGCCAGGCCCTGCTGTGCCGTGCACGTGGTCGGGGAGCTCCCGGCTTCTTCCTGACTCCACCATCTTTATTTTCTTTAGGGACATGAGTGGTGGGGAGGGGCCACTTGGACTCCTGAGAGGCACTTGCAGCCCTGGCTGGTTGTGGAAACTTCCTGGACTTGAGAGATCCAGGACGGCCAATCTGGGAGCCCTGGTGATGTCGTCCTGGAGCCTCCTTTGTCAAGAGCTGTCTGGGCACTGTCAGGCCACCAGGCTCCAGTATGCTTGGCCCCCGTGGGGAGTTTCCCCAGCTTTCCCTCTTTCATCAGGAATCTTGTCTCACTCATCAGTCTGATTGGCCTAGAAATTGACCAGCTCCTGGTGGGCCCCAGCCACACTCACCTGGTCTGGGGAACAGGTGGGGGCCCCCTAAACCCTGCTGCAATTTGAATAGCACCCGGGAACAGCCAATGGGGCAGCAGGCTGGATAGGGGAGCAGAAGAGGCCAGAAGAGGTGAATGAGAACCCAGCGATCATGCTCCATAAACCTCCTGCCCTGCATCCCAGGAAGAAGGAAAGAGAAGTTTGAAAAAGGGGAGCAGCGAGGTCACTAGGAGGATGCAGGACAGTGAGTGGGGTGAGGATGGGACCTAGCTAGGGAGTCAGGGGGAGATGTTTTCCAGGTCAAGCAGTTCCCAATATTTTATCTCAGCTTAGAAAACACCCCAAGAGAGAGGAGGCTGAGGCAGGACCTGGCCCCAGAGTTCATGCCCCAACCTGCCCCTGTGTCCCAGGTCCTTTTCCCTGACCAGGCAGTTGTATTTACATCCTGAGGTAGCGCCACGGGACGAGGTGGAGTCATCCAGGAGGGTGGGGCTGCCCCAAGCAGGCGTGAGGTTATCTTGTTTTGCAGCCTAGGAGCCAGAAAGCTTCCTGGATCTATCAGTTCACTGCAATTAATAATTCACTCTCTTCTCGCCCCAGGGAATCCCCTCCCCCACCAGCGAAACACACGAGATCAAAGGCAAATCGCATTCTCCCTCCAGCCAGAGGGTCTGCTTGTTTTTAGGAGGAGGCCAGAAACGTGCTTTTATTGCAGGGCAGGGACAAGCCAATGCTTCCAAACAGCACCCCGAAGCGGTTCCATGCACGGGAGAGTGGGGAGTCCCTCATGCAGAGGGCAGGTGCCAATGCCCACCCGGGGCGCAGCCCCCCACGCTGGGGCACAGAGCTGAGATCGGGGGGGTGCAGCGGCTAAATTGCCCCCCAGAAATGCCAGCCCCCCAACCGCAAGAGGGAAGCAATGGAGAGACCCCCCCAGGGTGGGGAGCCAGCTGCCCTGGCCAGGGACAGGCGTGGGGGCCAGCGGGCAGCAGCCCCCCCAACCCAGCCCAGGGGTTGCGTGGACGCGCGCGCAGCCCGCCAGCTGATCCGCAGACAGAAGCCCCGCCCCCCTT